AGTACAGGTATACAAACAATGTACTCTAGACAGTACAGGTATACAAACAATGTACTCTAGACAGTACAGGTATACAAACAATGTAATTTAGATAGTACAGGTATACAAACAATGTAATTTAGACAGTGCAGGTATACAAAACAATGTACTTAGACAGTGCAGGTATACAAATGTACCTAGACAGTACAGGTATACACAATGTACCTAGACAGTGCAGGTATACAAACAATGTACCTAGACAGTGCAGGTATACAAACAATGTACCTAGACAGTACAGGTATATACAAACAATGTACCCAGACAGTACAGGTAGATATAAAACAATGTACCTAGACAGTACAGGTATACAAACATAATGTACTCTAGATAGTACAGGTATACAAAACAATGTACTCTAGACAGTATAGGTATACAAACAATACCTAGACAGATAGGTATACAGACAATGTACCTAGACAGTACAGGTATACAAAACAATGTACCTAGACAGAAAGAAGCAGGTATAAGGCTAAACAATGTACTTAGACAGTATACAGGTATAAACAATGTACTTAGACAGGTATACAAACAATGTAAATTTAGACAGTATAGGTATACAAATAATGTACTAGACAGTATGTGTATACAAAACAATGTACTCTAGACAGTATACAAACAATGTAATTTAGACAGTACAGGTATACAAACAATGTAATTTAGACAGTACAGGTATACAAAACAATGTACCTAGACAGTACAGGTATACAAACAATGCAATTCCAGGACAGTATGAGACACAAACAATGTACCTAGACAGTACAGATATGTAAACAATGTACCTAGACAGTAGTACAGGAGATACAAATAATGTAAATTAGACAGTACAGGAGCAAACAATGTACCTAGACAGTACAGTAGACACAAAACAATGTAATTTAGACAGTACAGGTATACAAACAATGTAAATTTAGACAGTACAGGTAGTATACAAAACAATGTACCTAGACAGTACAGGTATACAAACAATGTACCTAGACAGTACAGGTATACAAAACAATGTGGGCTCTAGACAGTACAGGTATACAAACAATGTACTCTAGACAGTACAGGTATACAGACAATGTACCTAGACAGTAATAGGTGAGCACAAACAATGTACCTTGACAGGCACAGGTATACAAACACGTAATCTAGACAGTACAGGTATACAAAACAATGTACCCAGACAGTACAGGATACAAACAATGTAAACCTATAGACAGTACAGGTATACAACTAATGTACCTAGACAGTACAGGTATACAAACAATGTACCTAGACAGTACAGATACAAACAATGTAATGAGACAGTACAGTATACAAACAATGTAAATGACAGTACAGGGTATGTATAAACAATGTACCTAGACAGTACAGGTATACAAAACAATGTACCTAGACAGTAATATATACAAACAATGTACTCTAGGACAGTACAGGTATACAGACACAATGTAGACAGTAATAGGTATACAAAACAATGTACTAGACAGTACAGGTATACAAACAATGTACCTAGGACAGTACAGTATACAAACAATGTAATGTAGACAGTACAGGTATACAGACAATGTACCTAGACAGTACAGGTATACGTAATGTACCTAGACAGTACAGGTATACAAACAATGTGTAACGACAGTGCAGAGTATACAAAACAATACCTAGACAGCATAGGTATACAAACAATGTACCTAGACAGTATAGGTATACAAACAATGTAATAGACAGTGTATACAAACAATGTACTCTAGACAGTGCAGGTATACAAACAATGTACTCTAGACAGTACAGGTATACAAACAATGTACTGGTGGACAGTATGGTGTATACAAACAATGTAATGTAGACAGTACAGGTATACAAACAATGTACTAGGACAGTACAGGCATACAAGCAATGTACCTAGACAGTGCAGGTATACAAACAATGTAAATTTAGACAGTACAGGTATACAAACAATGTAATCTAGACAGTACAGGTATACAAACAATGTAACAGACAGAGGTATACAAACAATGTACCTAGACAGTGCAGGTATGCTGGCTGGTGACAATGCACTCTAGACAGTGCAGGTATACAAACAATGTGAATTCTAGACAGTACAGGTATACAAAACAATGTACCTAGACAGTACAGGTATACAAACAATGTACCTAGACAGTACAGGTATAAAACAATGTACCAAGACAGTACAGGTATACAAAACAATGTACTCTAGACAGTACAGGTATACAAACAATGTACTCTGTAGATTGTGCAGGTATACAAATAATGTACTCTAGAGACAAGTGGCTAGGTATACAAACAATGTACTGTATAGTATATAGGTATACAAACATGTACTCTAGACAGTACAGGTATAAAATAATGTACCTAGACAGTGTAGGTATAAAGAATGTATTTAGACAGTATAGGTATACAAACAATGTACTCTAGACAGTGCAGGTATACAAACAATGTACCTAGACAAAAGCAGGTATACAAACAATGTGTACCTAGACAGTACAGGTATACAGACAATGTACCTAGACAGTACAGGTATACAAACAATGCACTCCAGACAGTACAGGTATACAAACAATGTACCAGGATGCAGGTATACAAACAATGTGCCCAGATGCAGGTATACAAACAATGTACCTAGACAGTACAGGGGTATACAAACAATGTACTCAGGACAGTACAGGTATGTACAAACAATATACTTGTGATAAGCAGGTATACAGACAATGTACTTAGACAGTACAGGTAGTACAAATAATATACCTAGACAGTACAGGTATACAAACAATGTACTGAGACAGTACAGGTATACAAACAATATGGCCTAGACAGTATAGGTATACAAATAATGTGCCTAGACAGTACAGGTATACAAACAATATACCTAGACAGCAGGTATATAAATGATGTACTCTAGACAGTATACAAACAATATACCTAGACAGTACAGGTGATACAGACAATGTACCTGAGACAGTACAGGTATACAAAACAATGCACCCAGATAGTACAGGTATACAGACAATGTACTCAGACAGTACAGGTATACAAACAATGTACTCTAGACAGTACAGGTATACAGACAATGTACTCAGACAGTACAGGTATAAGCAAAACAATGTGCTCAGACAGTACAGGTATACAAAACAATGTTTCTAGACAGTACAGGTATACAGACAATGTACTTAGATAGTACAGGTATACAAACACAATGTAGACAGTATAGGATATAGATACTGTATTTAGACAGTATATATACAAACAATATAGGTTTTAGACAGTACAGGTATATAGACAATGTACTTAGGACAAAGGTGGCAAACAAATGTAAATTTAGACAGTACAGGTATACAAACAATGTACTCTAGACATACAGGTATAAAAACAATGTACTCTAGATATGTATACAAACAATGTACCTAGACAGTACAGGTATACAAACAATGTACCCAGACAGTACAAGGTATACAAACAATGTACCTAGACAGTACAGGTATAAACAATGTACCTAGACAGTATATATACAACAATGTACCTAGACAGTACAGGTATACAAAAACAATGTACTAGACAGTACAGGTATACAAACATGTATTTAGACAGTACAGGTATGTATAAACAATGTACTCTAGACAGTACAGGTATACAAACAATGTACCTAGACAGTGCAGAGATAAGCAAAACAATGTACTAGACAGTACAGGTATACAAACAATGTACTTTTAGACAGTACAGGTATACAAAACAATGTAATTAGGTGTGTGTATACAAATAATGTAATGTAGGGACAGTACAGGTATACAAACATGTACTCTAGGACAGTACAGGTATACAAAACAATGTACTCAGACAGTGCAGGTATATGCAACAATGTAATGAGACATAAACAGGTGAGGGCTAAAATGAATGTATCAGACAAGTAACAGGTAAGACAAACAATGTACCCAGGACAGTACAGGAGACACAAACAATGTACCTAGACAGTACAGGTATATGCAAAACAATGTACCTAGACAGTACAGGTATACAAACAATGTACTAAGACAGTACAGGTATAAAACAATGTACCTAGACAGTAGGTATACAAACAATGTACCTAGACAGTACAGGTATACAAACAATAAAATGTAGACAGTACAGGAGAAACAATGTACTAGACAGTGCAGGTATACAAACAATGTACTTAGACAGTATAGTATACAAACAATGTACTTAGACAGTATAGGAGCAAACAATACCTAGACAGTACAGGTATACAAACAATGTACTCTAGACAGTACAGGTATACAAACAATACCTAGACAGTACAGGTGATACAAAACAATGTACCTAGACAGTACAGGTATGGACAAACAATGTACCTAGACAGTACAGGTATACAAACAATGTACCTAGACAGTACAGTATACAAACAATTGTCAACAGCAGCAAATTGACCACACACACACACACACACACACACACACACACACACACACACACACACTTACATATAAAAAATAACTTAATATATCGGGCGTAAATAATGTATCAACAGACATACAGACGGACGGTCGAACAGACGTCAACAACAGACAGACAGACAGACAGACAGACATGGAGGGAAGGAAGAAATCAGAGAAAGAAAAACAAGAATAATAAGTGCAATATTTGTTGAAGTTTGCTGAGGGTTCAACTTGGTCCAATAAAACTTTTACTTCTTTGTGTGTGTGTGTGTGTGTGTGTGTGTGTGTGTGTGTAAGTGGGAGTGTTTGTGTAAGTATGACCGAGTGTATGTATTATTTAATATATATAGAGATAAGTTTAAAAATAATAATAATTAGATTGATTTAATGTGTTAAAGTTCTCACTATTTCAACAAGAGTACACGAAGTTATTATTATTATTATTATTATCACCATTATCATCATTATTATTATTATTATTGTTGTTATGGTTGTTGTTGTTATTATAAGCACCTTCACCGTCTCCGGCAGGGCTCCTACACCAGCAGCAGCCTCCTGTCCGTGTCAGAGTCGGTGGGTTACTTGGCTGGAGGCTACCTGAGAGACAGAGAGCATGACCCTTACTCACGCCATGCCTTCAATATTAAGGTGTCCAACTCTCTACCTAGTGACAGGTTTTACCAGACACCAGGGATCCCAGGTGAGCCATCTAAGTGAGTCAGTCTGGTGTGTGGGGTTGGCGAGCAGTCTGTGTGGGTAGGTTATGAGCAGTCTGGTGGTGGGGTTAAAGTGAGCAGTCTGGTGTGGGGTATAAGTGAGTCTGGTGTGTGGGTTGAAGTGAGCAGTCTGGTGTGGGGTTAGGTTAAGTGAGTCAGTCTGGTGGGAGGTAAGCATGAGCTGTCTGGTTAAAGTGAGCCGTCTGGTGTGTGGGGTTAGGTTAAGTGAGTCAGTCTGGTGAGAAGTGAGTCAGTCTGGTGTGTGGGTTAGGTTAAGTGAGTCAGTCTGGTGTGTGGGTTAGGCAGTGAGTCAGTCTGGTGTGGGTAGGGTTGGTGAGCCGTCTGGTGTGGGTTAGGTTAAGTGAGCGTCTGTGTGTGTAGGTTGGAGTGAGTCAGTCTGGTGTGTGGGTAAGTGAGTCAGTCTGGTGGGTTAAGGCGAGTCGTCTGGGGTGGTTGCTGGAGTGAGCTCAGTCTGGTGTGGGGGGTTGAGCAGTCTGGTGTAAGAAGGGCGTGAGCTGTGTGGGTTAGGTTAAGTGAGTCAGTCTGGTGTGTTAGGTTAAGTGAGTCAGTCTGGTGTGGAAGAAGGTGAGCAGTCTGGTGTGGGTTAGGTGACGTGAGCGTCTGGTGTGGGGTTAGGTTAAGTGAGCAGTCTGGTGTGGGAGTAGGTTAAAGCAGTCTGGTGTGGGTTGTTGGCGGAGTCAGTCTGGTGTGGGGGAAGGGGAGCAGTCTGGTGTGGGAAGAAGTGAGCAGTCTGTGTGTGGGTTAGGTTATGAGCAGTCTGGTGTGTGGGGTTAGGTTAAGTGAGTCAGTCTGGTGTGGGAGAAGAAGTGAGTCAGTCTGGTGGGTAGGGATATGAGTCAGTCTGGTGTGAGGGGTTATGAGTCAGTCTGGTGTGGGGTTAGGTTGGCTGAGCGTCTGGTGTGTGGGTTAGGTTATGAGTCAGTCTGGTGTGGGTGTTAAGTGAGCTGCCTGTGGTGTAGGTTAAGTGAGTCAGTCTGTGTGGGATAAAGTGAGCTGTCTGTGGGGTTAGGTTAAGGAGCAGTCTGGTATGGGTTATAGGTTAAGTGAGTCAGTCTGTGTGGGTTGTTAAAGTGAGTCAGTCTGGTGTGGGAAGAAGGGGTGAGTCGTCTGGTGTGTGGGTTAGGTTAGTGAGTCAGTCTGGTGTGGGTTAGGTTAAGTGAGTCAGTCTGTGGGGTAGGTTAAGTGAGCCAGTCTGGTGGGGTTAAAGTGAGTCAGTCTGGTGTGTGGGTAGAGTTAAGTGAGGCCGTCTGTGAGGAAAGTGAGTCAGTCTGGTGGGGAGAGGTTAAGTGAGTCAGTCTGTGGGAGGTTGGCGAGCAGTCTGGTGTGTGGTTAAAGTGAGTCAGTCTGGTGTGTAGGTTGAGCAGCCGTCTGTAAAGAAGGAGTGAGCTGTCTGGTGTGGGTTAGGTTATGAGCTGTCTGGGTAGGTTAAGGAGTCAGTCTGGTGTGTGTTAGGTTAAGTGAGCAGTCTGGTGTGAGGTAAAGTGAGTCAGTCTGGTGTGGGTTAGTTAAGGAGTCAGTCTGGTGTGTGGAGGAAGGCGAGTCAGTCTGTGTGGGAAGGTTATGAGCCGTCTGGTGTGTAATATGAGCCAGTCTGGTGTGTGGTTAGTTATGAGTCAGTCTGGTGGGTTGGGTTAAAGTGAGCAGTCTGGTTAGTTAAGTGAGTCAGTCTGTGTAAGTAAGTTATGAGTCAGTCTGGTGTGTGGGTTAGGTTAAGTGAGCAGTCTGGTGTGGAAGGCGTGAGCCGTCTGGTGTGTGGGTTAGTTAAGAAAGTCAGTCTGCAAAGAAGTTACAGCCGGTGTGTGTGGTTAAAGGTGGTCACGTCTGGTGGGGGTTGTTGGCGAGTCAGTCTGGTGTGGTTAGGGTTATGAGTCAGTCTGGTGGGTTGAAGAAGAGTCAGTCTGGTGTGGGTTAGGTTAGCGAGCGTCTGGTTAGGTTACGAGTCAGGTCTGTAAGTAGGTTGGCAGCCGTCTGGTGTGGGTTAAGCGATGCAGTCTGGTGTGTGGGCTTGCTGGCTAGAGTCTGTCTGTGGGTTAGGTTAAGTGAGTCAGTCTGGTGTGTGTGGTAGAAGTGAGTCAGTCTGTAATGCTGTTGTCGTTATTTAGACTCAATTAATGCATTATGTCTTTATGAGCAGCATTATGAGCAGGTTATGAGCAGTATTATGAGTAGCTATGAGCAGTATTATGAGTAGCTATGAGCAGTATTATGAGCAATTATGAGTAGTATTATGAGCAGTTATGAGCAATTATGAGCAGCTATGAGCAATTATGAGCAGTATTATAAGCAGTTATGAGCAATTATGAGCAGTTATGAGCAATTATGAGCAGTTATGAGCAATTATGAGCAGTATTATGATAATATAAGCAATTATGAGAAATTATGACAGTATTAAGGAGCAGTTATGAGCAGTATAATGAGTAGTTATGAGCAGTATTATGAGCAATTACGAGCATTAAGAGCAGTTATGACCAGAATTATGAGTAGCTATGAGCAGCATTATGAGCATATTATGATATTATGAGCAGCTATAAGCAATGTATATTATGATGTATGAGCAATTATGAGCAACATTATGAGCAGTATTAAGGACAGGTATGAAACAATTATGACAGTATTATGAGCAGTTATGAGCAGCATTATTAGCAGTTATGAGCAGTATTATGAGCAGTATTTTGAGCAGTTATGAGCAGTTATGAGCAGTATTAGTGATAAGTGATATATTATGAGCAGTATTATGAGCAGTATTATGAGCAGTATTATGAGTAGCTATGAGCAGTATTATGAGTAGCTATGAGCAGTATTATGAGCAATTATGAGTAGTATTATGAGCAGTTATGAGCAATTATGAGCAGCTATGAGCAATTATGAGCAGTATTATAAGCAGTTATGAGCAATTATGAGCAGTTATGAGCAATTATGAGCAGTTATGAGCAATTATGAGCAGTATTATGAGCAGTTATAAGCAATTATGAGAAATTATGACCAGTATTATGAGCAGTTATGAGCAGTATAATGAGTAGTTATGAGCAGTATTATGAGCAATTACGAGCAGTATTAAGAGCAGTTATGACCAGAATTATGAGTAGCTATGAGCAGTATTATGAGCAGTATTATGAGCAGTATTATGAGCAGCTATGAGCAATTATGAGCAGTTATGAGTGGTTATGAGCAATTATGAGCAATATTATGAGCAGTATTATGAGCAGGTATGAACAATTATGAGCAGTATTATGAGCAGTTATGAGCAGTATTATTAGCAGTTATGAGCAGTATTATGAGCAGTATTTTGAGCAGTTATGAGCAGTTATGAGCAGTATTATGAGCAGTTATGAGCAGTATTATTAGCAGTTATGAGCAGTATTATGAGCAGTATTTTGAGCAGTTATAAGCAGTATTATGAGCAGTTATGAGCAGTATTATGAGCAGTTGTGAGAAGTAATATGAGCAGTAATATGAGCAGTTATGAGCAGTTATGAGCAATTATGAGCAGTATTATGAGCAAGTTATGAGCATTATTATGAGCAGTATTATGAGCAGTATTATGAACAGTTATGAGCGATTATGAGCAGTATTATGAGCAGTATTATGAGCAGTATTATGAACAGTTATGAGCGATTATGAACAGTATTATGAGCAGTATTATGGGCAGTTATGAGCAATTATGAGCAGTATTATGAGTTTTTATGAGAAGTATTATGAGTAGTTATGAGCAGTATTATGAGCAGTTATGAGCAAGTATGAGCAGCATTATAAGCGTTTGTGAGAAGTATTATGAGCAGTATTATGAGCAGTTATGAGCAGTATTATGAGCAATATTATGAGCAGTATTATGAGCAGCTATGATCAGTTTTATGAGCAGTATTATGAGCAGTTATGAGCAGTATTATGAGCAGTTATGAGCAGTTATGAGCAGTATTATGAGTGGTTGTGAGAAGTATTATGATCAGTATTATGAGCAGCTATGAGATTATGAGCAGTATTGTGAGCAGTTATGAGCAGTATTATGAACAATTACGAGCAGTTATGAGCAGTATTGTGAGCAGTTATGAGCACTTATGAGCAGTATTATGAGCACTTATGAGCAGTATTATGAGCACTTATGAGCAGTATTATGAGCAGTCATGAGCATTATTATAAGAAGTTATAAGCAGTTATGAGCAGTATTATGAGCAGTGTTATGAGGAGTTATGAGCAGTATTATGAACAATTATGAGCAGTTATGAGCAGTATTGTGAGCAGTTATGAGCACTTATGAGCAGTATTATGAGCAGTATTATGAGCACTTATGAGCAGTATTATGAGCAGTTATGAGCAGTATTATGAGCTGTTTATGAACAGTATTATGAGCAGTTATGAGCAGTATTATGAGTAGTTATAAGCAGTATTATAAGCAGTATTATGAGCTGTTATGAACAGTATTATGAGCAGTTATGAGCAGTATTATGAGCAGTTATGAACAGTATTATAACCAGTGTTATGAGCAGTTATGAGCAGTATTATGAGCGGTATTATGAGCAGTATGATGAGCTGTTATGAACAGTATTATGAGCAGTTATGAGCAGTATTATGAGCAGTTATGACCAGTGTTATGAGCAGTTATGAGCAGTATTATGAGCAGTATTATGAGCAGTATTATGACCAGTGTTATGAGCAGTTATGAGCAGTATTATGAGCGGTATTATGAGCAGTATTATGACCAGTGTTATGAACTTTTATGAGCAGTATTATGAGCAGTTATGAGCAGTATTATGAGCAGTTATGAGCAGTATTATGAGCAATATTATGAGCAGTATTATGACCAGTGGTATGAGCAGTATTATGAGCAGTATTATGAGAAATATTACGAGTAGTACAATTAGCAGTTATAAGCAGTATTATTAGCAGTTATAAGCAGTATTATGGGCCATATAATTAGCAGATATGAGCAGTGTTATGAGCATTATTATGAGTAGAATTCAGGAGCTGTATTATGAGCAGATATGAGCAGGTGTGTTGCAGGTGTGGGCAGCTGGAGTACGACCTGGATACACTACCTACTGTGTCCGTGGTGGTCACCTTCCATAACGAGGCCAGATCTGCCCTTCTGAGGACCCTATACAGGTGAGCTCTGTGTGTGTGTGTGTGTGTGTGTGTGTGTGTGCGTGCGCGTGGAGGGTGGTGTAATGCGTCTAGTGTTAAGGTACAAGCACTGCTTGCCCCCTCTCGCTTTCAGCTGCCACTGCTGGCTAGCCCTCGTGGCGAACAAGGAAGCAACTTGCATAAGTCTTCCCCTGCCAGTACACAGCCTCTTCACCATCAAGACTCCTGCTGTGCCTCCTCGTAGCAACACACGGTAACTGGGTGCCTCGTGGGCCCAGGCTAGACCAGCAGGGGATCTAGTCAGTAGCAGTGGGCCCCAGAGACGGCACATAGGCCCACTGGCCTGTGAACATTTCCTGGCGCCTACCAACCATTGCCCCGCTGCTTTGCAGATTAACCTTGTTAGGTATAAGGCTACGGGAGTAAACCCAGAATGAAAAATCTGTGGTGGAGCCCAGCATCAAGCAGACATGCTTACAGAGCTCCAACAAGACCCCAACGGCAGTGTAGGTGGAAGAGGTGACCACCATGGGAACCCAACGACTACACCGGTGGACGAAGGCAATGCCTGATGGACAGGCTATTAAGGCGAAACCCAACAAACTGAGCTATCGGCAGGCCATTGCATCTCTCCCTCTCCCCAGTCATTGCAACACTTGCACCACTGGATCAGGAAAAGGGAGAGCCAAGATGTGTGGTTGCAGCCTGCGCTCCTGCCTCACCACATAAATCAGCTCACGCGCAGCCATCATCCAGCTCATCATACCTCTCATCATCATCAAAACCCCTAAACCCACAAAAGTCCTATGGCGATGGACGAGTGGCGACGGGGACAGGCAGAGATGACTGCCGGGAGTCTCTACTCACAACTCTGCACATGGGCAGCACAGAGAAGATGGTAATTTATGCACTGGGATCTAGGCAGTAGTGCAATCCGGTCCTATCTGTGTGACTGAGCAGCTCTTACGAAGAGCCACTCTGTTCACCCCACATGGACAGGGGGCTAGAAAAGGTGCCCTAAACATAACCTGCCTAAAGAACAAACCTGTTTGGGCAACCACACCCGGTAAAGTCAAGAGAACAGCATCGTGACCCGTACATGGCCTTCATTGACCTTACTAAGGTCTTCGACTCGGTCAATAGGGAAGCCCTCTGGCATACTCTCAGCCGTATTGGCTGTACACCAACATTCATCCCCATTGTGAGGCAATTCCACGATGGCATGAACAGCAGTGTCCTGTTCAATGGCACCCAGTTTGAGTTCTTCTCCATCCAAACTGGCATAAAACAAGGGTGTGTACTGGCACCAAATGTTTTTTCCATTTTCTTGGCTGCCTTCTTTACTTGTGCCAGTGCCAATTTAGCCAGCAGGGTGGCCATCGGGTACAAGATGAAGGTTCTTTTCAACATAAGACGACTCCAGGCAAGAACAAAGGTGTCAGCAGCTTCCATTACTAAACTTCACTATGCTGACGACCTCACCTTTGGCGCTCACACTGTACGTGACCTACAAGAGATCCTGAACACTTACGTAGATGCATATGCACACTTCGACCTTGAGGTGAATGCATGTACGTGAGACTCGGATTCTCTTTTAAACTGCCCCCGGTTCAGCCACACCTCCACCATCCATCCAGCTTAATGATATTACCCCCCCCCCCTAATGTTACCCAGTTTCAGTATCCCGGCTCTCACCTGTCCACCACTGCAGGCAAGGATGAAGATTCAACACCGGATCATATGTGCATCTCAACCCTTTGGCAGACTCCGAAACCGTGTCTTCAGCTGTAAGGAGCTGACATTATCTACAAAGTTACTGTACACGTATATCGAGCAGCGGTCCTTCCCACCCTGCTATATGGCAGCGAGACATGGGTCACATACAGGAGGCACCTCAAGACACTTGAAAACTTTCAACACTGTAGTCTACGTTCCATCATCTCAGTTTGCTGGGAAGACAAGAGAACAAATGCCACTATTCTTGCTGACACCAACTGTAGGAGCATCGAGGCTACCATTATCCATGAACAACTATGCTGGACTGGCCATGTTACCCACATGGACAACAGTAGACTGTCAAAGCAGCTACATTACAGTCACCTAATGAATAGTAAACATAATGCTGGTGGGAATCGGAAAAGATATAAGGATAGTCTTATGACAAACCTGAAAAAATGACAAATCGACCCACTCACATGGGAGACGATCACCCCACACAGTAATGCTTGGAGGAGCACCACTCAAGGTGTTCATACTTTCAAATTAGTCCGACTGCAAACCGAAGCAGACAAGCGCTAACGCCAGAACAATGCTGCCACCGCCCCTCCCGCACTGGATGTAGCCCTCCACACGCGCAACATCTGTGGACGGTCCTGCCGGTCCCGACCTCTTTATTCACCCCCAGAGCTCACTAACGAAGGTGACATCCCTAATAACTCATATCATTGTAACATAGCTGGATGATCGTCATACTCGATTACGAGTGACAGCAAAGTAGTAGTAGTGTGTGTCTGTGTGCTAGAGTTTTTTTTTACGGGGATTAGCCCACCCGGGCACAGGTCACTGACCCACATCAGGGCCTCGGGGGCGAAAATGTAATAATAATAATGAAAACAACAATTAATAAAAATTAATAAAAATTATACTAAATAAAATAATAGTAATAATAAAAATAATAACCATAAATAATAGAAAAATAATAAAAAATATATCAATAGTGAGAAACAATATATGTATGTTGTGTTGTCAATAGTAAGAGAAACAATTGAGACCCTGCAATTGTGTGTAAATGAGGCAGAAAGTCAGATCATCAACCTGGGACTTGGTCACATATGGCAGCAGGGTCTACCATTAGACAACACATTATGCTTCCAATATCTTCCCAGGCGGTAGTACCTACTGTCCAGGAACCGCTGTACCACTATCTGGTTGTGGTATCAGACCTTGTGGGTGCAGTGTGCTGTACATTGAAAAAAAGTTGCCTGTAATTCTCTATAAAAGTGATTTTATAAAAAAAATTCCCAAACATTGAGATTTTGTCTCATTTTACTTAGTACTTTACTGCATACAAACAAACATTCATAGTCACCAGCCTTGTGTAACAAAGGAAGCCATACCACCACCAGTTATTGTGAGGGGAAACACGTAATATTACCTGTAATTAACCTGTCACTGTCCACACTGCAGTACGGCGCAGGTAAGATGTTCTCTAGGTTCACATTAATCATTAAGGGGACACAGGTGAAGGCAAATACATGTGTCTTCATTGTTTTGGTAGGTGTGAGAGGAGAGGTCACCGAGTGTGGTACAGGTATGGTACATGTGTGGTGCAGGTATGGTGTGGGTGAGGTACAGGTGTGGTGCAGGTATGGTGTGGGTGAGGTACAGGTGGGGTGCGGGTAGGGTGTGGGTGAGGTACAGGTGTGGTGCGGGTATGGTGTGGGTGAGGTACAGGTGTGGTGCGGGTATGGTGTGGGTGAGGTACAGGTGGGGTGCGGGTATGGTGTGGGTGAGGTGCAGGTGTGGTGCGGGTATGGTGTGGGTGGTACAGGTGGGGTGCAGGGTGGGGTGTGGGTGGGGTACAGGTGGGGTGCGGGTATGGTGTGGGTGAGGGTGCAGGTGTGGTGCGGGTATGGTGTGGGTGGGGTACAGGTGTGGTGCAGGTATGGTGTGGGTGAGGGTACAGGTGGGGTGCGTACAGGTGGGGTGCGGGGGTGTACAGTACAGGTGGGGGTGCGGGTATGGTGTGGGTAGGTACAGGTGGGGTGCGGGTATATTTCACCATCTCTCTCATCGATATATTTCACCATCTCTCAGTGTGTTGAGCCGCACCCCAGAGGAACTGTTGGTGGACATTGTGTTGGTGGACGATGCCAGCGACAACCGTAAGTCTCTCTCTCTCTCTCTCTCTCTCTCTCTCTCTCTCTCTCTCTCTCTCTCTCTCTCTCATCATATTATTATTTTGATCAAACTCTTGTTATTTAATCTCTCCCCATACTCGTTAATTATAGTGCATAAGTCACATGTTTAGTCATAGGTCACATGTTTAGGTATAATAAGTCACATGTTTAGGTAAAATAAGTCACATGTTTAGGTATAATAAGTCACATGTTTAGGCATAATAAGTCACATGTTTAGGTATAATAAGTCACATGTTTAGGCACAATAAGTCACATGTTTAGGTATAATAAGTCACATGTTTAGGTATAATAAGTCACATGTTTAGGAATAATAAGTCACATGTTTAGGTATAATAAGTCACATGTTTAGGTAAAATAAGTTACATGTTTAGGAATAATAAGTCACATGTTTAGGCATAATAAGTCACATGTTTAGGTACAATAAGTCACATGTTTAGTGTATTAGCTCCTGTTTAACAGACAGTAGTACTTATATAAATGTGGGTTATTACATTAGGTTTATATAACATCACCCACGGTAACTTGTCATGAGCTATGATAGGTTGTTTCATCTCCAGACGCGAGACTCAGCCATTAAGTGACCTGCTCCTGGCCAGTACATCTGTCTCACCTGACTGACGTACCCACACAAAGCTATTATTGATAAGCTCCGTCTAACGCTCACAGATCATATTGATAATTACGGTCATATCCCAGTTAATTGTGCCTACATATAGCTTTCTAAGTAAATGGACAAAAGACCATTTGGGTTTGTAAACTTAATCCATAAACATTTTGTGAATGTTACTGTAAAGTTACCTCTCATCAGCGAGTCTTAGGTAACCGGAGTAGTAACATTAGTCATAATAAGTCACATGTTTAGGTATAATAAGTCACATATTTAGTCATAATAAGTCACATGTTTAGGTATAATACACGTTTATTCCCTCACTACAGCCTCAGATGGTCTCCTATTGGCTGGGCTTCCCAAGGTGCGTCTCATTAGAAATGACCAACGGCAAGGTGAGTGGTGGTGGTGGTGGTGGTGGGGGTGGTGGGGGTGGTGGTGGTGGTGGTGGTGGTGTGTGTGTGGGGGGGGGGAGACACACAGGGTGGTGTAATGCCTCTAGTGTGGCAGCATTATGTCAGTGTTAAGGTACAAGCACTGCTTGCCCCCTCTCGCTTTCAGCTGCCACTGCTGGCTAGCCCTCGTGGCGAACAGGGAAGCAACTTGCATAAGTCTTCCCCTGCCGGTACACAGCCTCTTCACCATCAAGACTCCTGCTGTGCCTCCTCGTAGCAACACACGGTAACTGGGTGCCTCGTGGGCCCAGGCTAGACCAGCAGGGGGTCTCGGAGTAGCAGATGGATGGTGCATAGGCCCACTGGCATGTGGACACGTTCTGGCGCCGACCAACCATTGCCCCGCTGCCTTGCAGATTAACCTTGGGAGGTACAAGCCTGCAGGAGTGAACCCCAAACGAAAAATCTGTGGTGGAGCCCAGCATCAGGCAGACATGCTTACAGAGCTCCAACAAGACCCCAACGACGGTGTAGGCGGAAGAGGTGACCACCATGGGACTACACCGGCAGATGAAGGCAATACATGATGGACAGGCTACTAAGGTGAAACCCAACAAACTGAGCTATTGGCAGTCCATTGCAACTCTCCCTCTCCCCAGTCATTGCAACACTTGCACCACTGGATCAGGAAAAGGGAGAGCCAAGATATGTGGTTGCAGCCTGCGCTCCTGCCTCACCACATAAATCAACTCACGTGCAGCCATTATTCAGCTCATCATAACTCCCATCATCATCAAAACCCCTATACCCTAAAATGTGTTTTGGCGACGGACGAGTGACAAAGGGAACAGGCAGAGCTGACTCCCAGGAGTCTCTAGTCACAATTCTGCACATGGGCGACACAGATAAGATGGTCGTTTCTGCACTGGGATCTAGGCAGCAGTGCAATCCAGCAGTGCAATCCGGTCCTGTCTGTGCGACTGAGTAGCCCTTTCGAGGAGACATTCTGCTCACCCCACTTGGAGAGGGAGCTAGAAAAGGTGCCCTAAACATAGCCTACCTAAAAAAGCAACCGCACCCAGTAAGGTCATCGTTATGCGATTGAAAACACAAGCAAAATCACATATCCAAGCAAACACAAACTATAAAACCTCTTATGGTCACTGCATGAAATGTCAGGACTCTTCAGGATACTGGCACAAATTAGTGACCTGAAAGAAGAACTGCCCTTGTGGCAAAAGAGCTGGCTAGGTATAACATCGAGATAGCAGCCATTAGTGAGTCCCGGCTCTCAGACGAGGATCAACTCACAGAACGGAAGTCTGGCTACACCTTCTTCTGGAAGGGTAAGCCTGCTGCGGAGAGAAACCCCATTTATGGTGTTGTCTTTGCCATCCGCCAACGCAATTTACAGAGGCTAATTGAAATGCCTATTGGGATCAACGAACACCTCATTACGCTCCGAGTCCCACTGAATCACTCACGACATACCTTTTTCATCAGTGCATTTGCCCCAACACTGGATGCAGATTATGACATCATGGAGGCCTTTTATGCCGAACTCAAAAGAGTGCTAACCTCTATCACCAGAGAAGATAAGGTTGTGCTCCTTAGTGACTTCAATGCCAGACTTGGTATGAGATGCTAACATTTGTCAGGGAACCATAGGGAGAAACGAACTTGGCAAGTGTAATGCCAACGGCCTACTCCTCCTCAGCAAGTGTGCTGCACACAACCTCACTATCACCAATACCTTGTTTAGGCAGGCCGACAAGTTCAAGGGTTCGTGGCAACACCCATGATCCAAACTCTGGCATCTCATTGACTACATCATTGTCAGAGAAAGAGATCGCCGAGATGTCCTCATCACCCGTGCCATGCGTGGCTCAGACCACTGTGACACTGATCATTGGCTCTTCAGGTCTCTAAGCTCTCACTTAACGTCGCCCCAAAACCTCGACTGCAGCAAGCCTCCAGAAGAGGTTTTAACACTAAGCGTCTGGAGGATCCAGCGGTAGCACATGCTTTCAGAGAGCAGCTCGAACATGGGCTGAAAAACAACCCGACAACGAACAACCCAAATCCCAGTGCCGAATGGGGTGTTCTTAACACTGTCATGACAAAAACCTACAGACAGACCCTCGGCCAGATCGAAAGAATACACCAGGACTGGTTTGATGAAAATGACCAGGCAATCAATGTACTCATCGATGATAAACGTGCTGCCTTAACTAAATGCCAGAACAACCCTCAGTCTCGTACCAAAGTGGATACCTTCCACAGAAGAAAGCGG